TTTTTTCACATTTAAATTAAGTTTGTGTTAATAGAGCCAATCGCTTATTTCCTGTAAGTCTTTTCCAATGATGATTTTCAACTTACCAGGGTCCTTGTCAAAATGAGTGATGCAAGTATCATCTGCATATAAATTGAGAGAGCCCTGAAGTATGACAGTGAGTTCATGTAGACTAAGAAGAGTGTCGGTCCCCGAATTGAACCTTGGGGCACTCCGTGTGAAATGTTTTCCATTCTTCTTCTGTTACCTTCACATTCAACATAGTGTAGTCTGCCCGATAGATAATCCCTAAACCACAGTAGTAGTGCTGAACCTCCAATACCAGTTTTTTCAGGCACCTCTACGAGAATTTTGTGATTTACTGTATGAAAAGCTTTTCTTCTGTTCAGGGAGACAAGTACACACTAATATATCTTATCAACCTTTTCATAAATATTTGTATTTAGGTCTGTAGTTGCTGAGGAGGTATTTCTGTATTTTCTGAATCCAAATTGACCAGCATACCAAAAATTTATTCCATCCAAATAACTGGTTAATCTCATAGTTACACACACACAGGGACAACCTTTGCCATTTTAAACAGACCTGGTACAGATGCAGCATTAAGAACAAGATTTATCAACTTACATAAAGTAGGCGATATTTCATTTTTCAATTCTTTGATTGTATCAATACCCCTAAGCTCTCAGTCCTAGGTGATTTTCCTGATTTTAATATGTTTATAATTGCAGTGATCTTCTATGTAGTCACAGGTTCCCATTGATTATTATAAGCAGTAGAAGTTGGTTAGAGAAAAGTTTTTTGGATTGATTTTCTCCGCTTTTCCATCCACAGACGCGTTTCGACCTATATCAGGTCTCATCAGTATGGCTAGGAAAAGCGAAGAAAACCAATCCAATTTTTCGCCTAAAGGCAAATGCAAGAATTCCGAAGAGCGAATGTTGATCTTGACGCCATCTAGTACCGATAATCAACACTACACGCAATTTTGCTGTGCTAAATGGTGAACGTACAAAGGCTGACCAAAATTCAGTTTGTTTGGGTTTGACCCAAATGTACCACTGTTTGAGAAAAGTTTTTTGGATTGATTTTCTCCGCTTTTCCATCCACAGACGCGTTTCGACCTATATCAGGTCTCATCAGTATGGCTAGGAAAAGCGAAGAAAACCAATCCAATTTTTCGCCTTAAGGCAAATGCAAGAATTCCGAAGAGCGAATGTTGATCTTCACGCCATCTAGTACCGATAATCAACACTACACGCAATTTTGCTGTGCTAAATGGTGAACGTACAAAGGCTGACCAAAATTCAGTTTGTTTGGGTTTGACCCAAAAGTACCACTGTTTGAGAAAAGTTTTTTGGATTGATTTTCTCCGCTTTTCCATCCACAGACGCGTTTCGACCTATATCAGGTCTCATCAGTATGGCTAGGAAAAGCGAAGAAAACCAATCCAATTTTTCGCCTAAAGGCAAATGCAAGAATTCCGAAGTTGGTTAGAGTTGAGGGAAAAACATTGTCGGGGGGATGTTTTTTGCTAGTTCTGCAGCAATTTCGGAAAAGTATTGGTTTAGCAAGTTTTCAACATTCTGTGGGTTCTGCAGAGTGTGGCCAGAGATGTACCAACTAACTTGGGTAATAAGCGTGTTTGGAGTTGTTGATTATAGTGTTTATTGTTTGTTCTCCATATCTGTTTGACATTATTCCCTGCTTCACTAATTTCGGCATTATAATAGAATTTTTTTGAGTAGTGATGTTCTATATTCTTTTTGGGTTTATTAGTAAAGTTCAAGTAAATACCTAAGCACTGTGTGGAAACATTTTATGTCGTTGATAGTGAAAGTCCCGCCTCCTCATCAATTCAAAGTGTCTCACATTATACCAAGGAGCACTTTTAGAACGAAATCTATTTCTATAGTGTCTATTTTGCAAATTGTTATTATAAGAATCTATTATTTGATCACATAATAAATTGGGATTAGACCAGTTTAAGGTTTTTATTTCAGGTAAATTTACCTTAAAAGCTTCTTTATTTAAAGTGGTTACTGTATAATTAGTCTCGTAGAATATGTGTTGTCACTTTGCTGTCGAAGAAAAATATTGGAGATTTTTTTTATCAGGAAATAAATGTATGGGACTGAAATATATTTTTTATTTTGAAGTTTGTTAGGAAATATTTTTTTTCTTAAATTTAATTTTGTGTAGTGTGGGAGAAAGAGGTATACTCAAAAGACTTAGTGAGTGTGGCAGTAAAATGACTCAAAATGAGGACATTTTATTCTGGTAGGGAAGGTTAAAGTGGAAAGGGATCAGTTTGGCTGGGCTTGGATGATCAGTTTGGGTGGGCCTTCTGTAAATTGAGAATTGCAATCCATTCAAGTCGCAGTGAATAACAAAATCAAGAAAATTAATTAGGTCGTCAATCTCAAGTTTCAAGGTGAAAGAAATGTTGGGGTGTTGGTTATTCAACTTATTCAAATGAAGATTCGCTTCCTGGGCATCACAATTCAGAGAAGAGAGGCAATCGTCCATGTACCTTTACCAGTGCAGTATTTCCCTATTGATATTCGTAATTATGATCTTGGATTCAAGGAGATGTGAGCTAGAAAATGCGAGAGGCACAGGGCCGTAGCGATATGACTATCCCTAGGGGGGGAGACTGAGATTCGGCGCCCCCTAAGCGCAGCGAAGGCAATTCAAAGGCGAGAAAAAATTAACTTTTTTGCAACTTTGGCAGACTATAAAACCTTAACGGTTAATTTTAGACTTTAGAGCAATCATTTGACACCAACTTTGAATTTAATCCATGATTGAAAATTCCTTATAGCCTAAAAAAGTTGCAAAAAAGTTAATTTTCAACTATCAATATTTCCAAAACAGAGTTGAACTTAGGTATAGGAATGAGTATAGGGTATAGATATCACATGAGATCTGCTAAGAATTTCACCACAGCATATCATATACAAAAACAAACAGCAGGTTAACTCTCACGCACATCTCCTTTGCGCAAGCTGCCATTCGAGAATACAGCCTATCACGGCTACGGCAGAATCACATGATTTAACGCGTATCTCTTCTGCGCATGCCGCCATTTGAGGCTACAAATCTCGAGTTAGCCTGCTGATTGTATTTGTATACTCATGCTATGATTTTATGTAGAATCTGAATACTCAATAATATACTAATATACAGGGTATTCCATTTAAAATAAGAAAGTTGCAAGTTAAACCACGACCAGCTTTTCTGAAGCATCCTTTATATGCGAAAGTAAGTTTAAAAAAAAAAAAAGTTTCAACCATAAAACTTTTATTTGAGACACTTCTTTCTCAAATTTCAAATAAAAAAGATAGAGGGGGTGACATTTATAACCAATAACCCTGTATTTCACAACGTCACTTTTTTTTTCTTTTCCCTTCTGATCTTTCAATTTAAGTAGGTGTTTCCTCACTTGTGTTTCCGGCTTAGGTTCCGAATTCCGATAAACATTTTTTTCTTTAAATTGTTTCCTTTGTCTACCTATCGATGACGGCCAGTTTTGGAGAAATACTTATTGATAATTTCCTTTGTATTATTTGAATAAACAAATGTGCGCCAGCAGGATCACAAAACGCAGGATTCGGTTAGTTCGACGTTGTCAGATTGCACGGAAGGAACCCATCCAGGTGTACCTTGCCTTCCTAAGTGTTACTTCTTTCATTAACTTCTGATACCCTATTGTGTGTCTTACTTGTTTTGTTTACTATTGTCTCCATGTTATAAGTGCACCTCACTTACATCACCAAGAGCTGAGTCGGTGGTTGGGTTCGGTAATTGGGGTAATTGTATCTGCGAGCAAAAAGAGTGAATTTTGACGGACGTCACGTGATCACTTATCCACCACTTATCTTTTTTCACGTGTCAAATCACGTGACATCTGTCAAATTTTGCTCGCAGATGCAATTCCAATTGACGAATCCAGCCTAGATTCACCGAGTTTCCGTTGCCCCGTTTCGATGGAACTTTTGCGGCGAGTTCACAATAGAAATTGAACTCTTGACTGGGGCGTGTTCACAATAGCCGGCGGGACGTGTTCACAATACCGCCGGGGCGTGTTCCGGGCGCACTGCAGCCTCCGGTTGCATGTTGAATTAGCATAAAAATACTATCCTTTCTGAATTATAATTGTAAAATAGTATTTAATTACCTACTCGGAAACTTGCCTTTTGTCTAAGATTTTTGCACTTATATATTTTGGCCCCTTGTGCCAGCTGCGCCCAGGGGGGAGGCTCCCCCGTCTCCGCCCCTGTTGGCTACGCCCCTGGCAGAGGCAACTACCCATGGCCAAGCCATCAGGCTGCTGATAGAATTTATTGCTGGAAATAAAGAAATTCCGTACAATCGAGATATTGTATAGGGTTGCTAGAAATAAGAGTGTATGGTGCATTATGCATAACATCAATCAAATATGGGTAAACTTGAAAAACGGTGAGAGTACCTGTGCAAAATTAAGTTTCTGACATTAAATTTTTGTTTCTGATGATGAATTCTAAAAATTCAGTTAAAACTCAACAACTATCATATATACAAATACAAATGATTTCAAATTCATTACTTAGAATCATTCTTTATTTTAATAACTCAGTTTATAACTACATTGTATTATGATATTGGGAAGTTTCTCGAGAATAGTTGCTATATTTTCGACAAAAAACCTTAGAAACTATTCCGGCCGAGTTTCATAGCCAATGAGATACTTACTCGGATCTTACGACCCTAGATTTTTGGATGAGGCTTCACAGAAAACGAAATGTATGAATTGAAACCCTTTAAAAACCGGAATATTTTAGAAGGAAGAGTCCGGTATTATGAATTAAATCAGTAAGTGGAAACAGGTAAGTACCCTAGCAATGGTAGTCGGAAACGTGTTAGTTAGACAACTGTAGCAAACGTCATTTCAGAACAGTCGCGCTATTTTGCCAATCTAATTGGCTTGTATATTCACTAGATATAAATAATTTAATTTCCATAAATTCGGTATTGTCAAATAAAAATATTTACATAATTCACAAACATCCTTTGTTTTGCCTAATCAAAAATATAAATGCGTGAAGCTAAAACGTATACATATGTACGCATGAATAGAGATGAACTAGTGCCTGAAAATATTTTTGTTGTAACACTAATGGTATTTGGGAAAATCGGTTTTTTTTTCAATATTTTTGACAGTTCAAGTGCAAAGGATAAATAGGTAGGAAACCACTGAGGAGTCTTTCCGGACTAGTTATTCTCTTTCAGAGGTATATCAGCAAGACGGCTTCTGACAGTATTTGAGGATTATATACGTGCAATCTTGCATTGTAGCGCACACATGCCACACTACATAACTTGCTTTTTGACATTTATATACTATATTATATATGTTATTGTTATAACTTTCGTGCGTATCGATAACTTTTGCTTGATTTTTTCAGCATTTTTAGTTCAAATTATGGATCCCAATCTATTACCAGCCGTTCTAAGAACCACTCTACCGTCAAACCTAGAAAAAATCAAATATGGCAGCTATACAGAAAATGACAATGATTACTCAATACATTTGTATTTGAAAGAACACGATATAAGAGTTCAGGAAGATGGTAGTGATATAGTCGAATTTTTAAAGGGGAAACATATATTGATTACTGGTGCTACTGGATTTTTAGGTAAGGTTGTCACAGTGTAGGACGATTTAGTCTAGAAGTAGATATATTTAATTTAAATAATTTTTATTTGGAAGGCAAACTTCTTCTTGAAAAGCTGCTAAGATGCTGCAAAGACATTGGAACAATCTACGTTGTTATTAGGACAAAAAAGGGGGTAGATCCTCAAAGTAGACTGGAAGATTATCTCAATAATTGGGTAAGCAGAGGTTCAATTAATTCTTTACTATGTAAAAAAATCAGCAGGTGCGCTTTTTAGGTATTTTGCAAGTTATCTCAAATCCGTCCCAATTACAAAGACAAGGTGGTTGGTATCAGTGGGGACTTCGAAATTGATGGACTAGGACTTTCGGATGAATCAAGGGATATTTTAACAAAAAAAGTAAGTAAATCTTACCAATCACTTTCGACGATTAAACTGATCCATTCATCAATTGCCTTGATGGCTATACCTACATAAAATATCCAACAGAAGCTGATCAAATTATTCACGACACTCACTTGGAAATAGTTCCCAAAGATACTCTCGTCTGAGGAATGTACTTTTGGATGTAGTCTTCCTTGAGCAATTCTACGAATTTCATAATCATCCACATCCAGTTGAGGAATTATTATCAGTTCCATTTCCAGTTGTTATAAACTTGCCTCATCATTATACATAACTTTGAAATACCTAATTGAAATAATGATATCTACTTGAAAATTCATACCTAGCTTATTTTTTTAGGTCAACATCATTTACCACGTAGCAGCTACAGTTCGTTTTGATGAACCCCTCAAAAGAGCCGTCAAAATCAATATCGAAGGCTCCCAACAAATAATCCAATTGGCCAAAGAATGCAAGAAACTTGACGTTTTCGTTCATGTCAGTACAGCGTACTCAAACTGCCAAGAAAAGCTGATCAAAGAAGAATTTTATCCGCCCCATATAGATCCTTACAAGCTAATGCTGATGACTAAAGAGTTACCGGATCACATTTTGGAAAACATCACACCAGGGTAAGCAATTTGTGTCCAGGTTTCTGAAACAGTTTTTAAATAATTTTACTACAGAATGTTGCAGTCTATTCCTAACACCTACGCCTTCACAAAACAAATAGCGGAAGATCTGGTGAGAAGAGAAGCCGCGGGATTACCTGCGTGCATTCAAAGACCTTCAATAGTCATAGCTTCAGCCAAAGAACCAATTAGATCATGGGTAGATAATATTTACGGCCCTGTAGGCTTAATTGAAGGTGCTGCACTAGGTCTTTTACATACAATGCCTGGAAATGCTGATGGAATATCCGATTGTGTACCAGCTGATTTCGTTATAAATAATTGTATAGCCGCTTCATATAAAACTGCAAGAGAGCGGTAAGAATTTATGTTGTAATATTTACCAATGTCTAGTATTTTCTTTTAGAAAACTTGATCAAATTCCTATTTATAATTGTACTTCTTCAAACTCCAATCCTCTACGTTGGAAGGACCTTGCTTTGGCCACCAAGCATGGTAAAAAAGTATCTTCACTTATTCTTCTTAGTAAAGGCTACTTTAAGTTTACTAGTTGCTGGACCTGGTACTATATTGTTAAATTTATACTTCACACCATACCGGCTGTTATAGTTGATTTTGTGCTGGAGCGACTGGGGAAGAAACCTTTGTAAGTATTGTAGTTTGTGCCAGAGCCGGGTACTTAAGTACATTTCAGTTATCTATAAAATACTGGTAAACAGCAATCTTGTAATTTGAAATGCCATTTTTCATTTGTACTTTCAATTGATCTGGAACACTTATATGTATATTCAGTCATCGTTAAATAATGTGTGTTGGCTTGCGTTGAAATTGAGAAAACATCTCTTTACAGTCGATTTTGAATTTTCACAAACTTACTTTCGCAGCATTTTCCTGCGTGAAGGTAGATACACAAACTTACAAGGTAGGTACAATTAAGTGTTTCAATTTGATCGACAGGATGCTACTAAAGTACCTTGCTTATTAAACCTGAACCTCTGATAGTAATAATTTGTAAATTTTAGGCTTCGCAAAGCATATGGAAAAATCGACAAATTTATCGACAGTTTAGTTCATTTCACGTTAAACGAATGGGAGTTTAAAGATCAAAATACGCAAAGTTTATGGGATGAACTTAATGAAAAGGATAAGGCTAACTTTCCGTTTGATATTAAGGTATTGGATTGGCAAGAATATTTTGACACGTATTTGGTAGCAGCGAGAGAGTTTCTAGTTAAGGACTTTTTGGATACATTAGATGAAGGAAGAATGCTGAAGTTGAAGTGAGTATGAACAAAATGCGTTTGTTCCAACGAGATTTCAAGAACTTTCCTGAAAATACTTGAAAACGGAATTTAAAACTGTCTGCCATACATTTTCTTTGGGCAGTTTCGGAATACTCTTTGGAACAAACCTCATTTATGTATGTTTTCATTACTCTTTTTTTTTAGGTTGGACGTATTACACTACACGTTTGTGAGCCTTCTAATAGGATTGTCAGTGTATTTTTTGGCATGCACAATATTCTTTTTCATTCCTTTATTGCTCATCTCTATAACTATTTTCTATCTCATTCCTTGAAAATGTTTTATTTTTATTTATTGTACCAAAATACATATTGTTTTGTTAATAAATGTTTTTATTTAAATACTTACCAAATCATGCATAAATAAAAAAAAAACAAAGAATGAATACAGGGTATCCCACCGGGAACCAAATCAATCTATTTATGAAAAACTGTGCAAATTTTTTTTTAAAAATTGGACAGTATACTAATGTGGATGGGGGCAACCCGGTTAGAATATTCTCAAGATGGTGGCACTTCCGGTTATACCAGTAGTAGACGTCAACTTGCTTAAAGCTGGAAACAACTTTTAAGTTCATAGCGAACTCAAAAGTCTCTTAAAATAGTCCAAGAGCCCAGAGCCGCCAGACACAACTTATTTTCTAAAGGACAGAATATGTGGGATTGTGTAGCACTTATACCCGCTAAGTTGGGTAGACGGCCAATTTACCGACACCAGGTGCGAAAGCTTAAGAAGTACTTTAACTTTTAACGTTTGATTTTTATACATGTTATTGGGGAGACTATTTCATAACTACGTGTGCTCAGCCAGACCAATCGCACCGGCCAAACATCCCCCCAGACGCAATAATAGTTTTTCCGTGAGTGTGAGCGCGAGGGTACTATGCATGCGTTTGAGAGTGAGCGAGATATCTATTTCCCCCTCTTAAACTTACAGTCTACTCCAGGCTAGAGTAGAAATGGGATTCGGTTTTTCCCATAATGGGAAAAACCGTTATTTACACATAACAGTCAACTGGCCGTCTACCCAAACAGCGAGTATACATACGTTCATAGTACCTATAAGTGCTACTCAATCCCACATATTCTGTCCTTTAGAAAATAAGTTGTGTCTGGCGGCTCTGGGCTCTTGGACCAAAAGTAGAAAACATTCGAAAAGCAAACAAAAAAAAACCGAAAATAAATTACTTTAAGGTTTGAAGTTGAAATAATGACCTGAATGCGATTTTGACCCTTTGATTAGAATACGGATTTAATGAAAATCATTGAAAATGTATTAAAGATCCAGTTATATAGGCAAATAATATTGAATTATGTAATTGGGTCAAGGTAATTTTTGATTGTAATTTGTAATTTGCACGAGGTTTTAGCATAGGAATAAAGATTTATTTTTTGCAACGTTATTCGTATTTATTTGACGTACTTTATTTTCCAGAAAAAACTACTCATTGACAAAGCATAGATATCGACTTATTTTTATTGAATTGGCTTCTACTAGGTGGAAATTCATGTCTAATAAAAGATTTTCAAGTAAATGAGATATACTTATATATTTCCACTAGTTTAATGTAATAAACTTTCATTTATAGATAGAGATAAAAAGAGATTATTTTATGAATCCTCAAGCACTTAAACTTTATTCATTAATAAAACTTCATAACATAGGTTACCTATGTTTATTTCTTTTCAGCTCCTTCTTATAAAATTTCTAAAACCTTAATTGATATTATTTTAAATCACACTTTATTGCTGCTAAATATTCTATAAAAAACACTTATGAACTACCTAGTAGCAAAAATTAAACATATTACATTACCAAAAAACTCTAAACGTATATTTCATTTGATGTTACCAATCTTTTTCCAAGTATACACCTATTGAAGACGTTATTAATCTGGTTGAGAAACTTTTAATTAAAAACAATATAAATATTATCGTTTTGAAAGAATGCGTTAGCAAAAATTATTTTGAATTTGATAATAAATTATACACTAGCAAAATTAGACTTATAATGGGAAATCCACTAAGCAATTTTATCTGAAATATTCATGGATTTTATTGATTCAAAAATTAACAAACATCCAATTTTTAAAAAATTTCTCTACTGGCATAGATATGTTGACGATATTCTAACTTGTTTTACTGGAACAGACAGACATTTGGATATTTCTATCGACTTTATTAATAAAATCCACCCTAACATAAAATTTACCATAGAAAAAGAACTAAATAATTCAATAAATTATCTAGATTTAACAATCAAAAATATAAACGAAAAACATGAATTTTCAATAGTATTTCATAAACCTACTCATACTGATACAGTTATGCACAATACATCTTGTCATCCTATCCAACACAAATTAGCTGCTTTTAACAGTATGATACCGACTATACTTCCTATAAATAATGGTTATTCTTGCGAATTAATAGATGATATTTTAAACAAAAAACTGTGCAAAAATGCTATTAATCTAGTATACCCTAGAATATTACAAAATAATAATAATACAAAACTATTACTTTCCAAGGACAAGCTAGTAATAAAATTAACAAATTTCTTAAAGGGGATGTGCGCCAAAAATTAAAGTTTTAGTGTAAAAAAATCTAAGAATAACTGTTCAAACCTCGTTATTCTATGATAAACCATCGCTGAGATATACCGCTTTAAAGTGTGGACGACGCTCTCGTGACGTCACGAGAACTTCGTTCAGCCGAGCTCCGCATTGTTAATTTGATTGTTCCCGGCACGCGTGGGTGGTTTTTGTTTAGATTATTGCAGGTAACACAGGAAAAACATATGTAAATTTAGTTAACTCCACTTTCTCGTGCGTCGCTTGAGCTTTCGTGACGTCATAGGGTGAGATGTGGTACCTTCATAGAGCCATATCTGCGGTATTATTTGTCATCGAGGGGTGCGGAGTTCACTGTTATTCTTAGATTTTTTTTCTCTTTTTTTTTGAGATGAAGTTGTTTTTTTGGCGCACACCCCCTTTAACAAAAACGATATAAATATTACTTTCAAAACTAACAATACATTAGGCTTCCATTTGAAAAAAAATAAATCTAAAACTAAAATATGTCATAAATCTGGAGTTTATAAATTATCTTGTAAAGATTGTCCCAAAGTATATCCTGTTCACAATCCGATGTCCACAGGTGCAGGTAAATTTATCACCTTTTCCTATCCAAAAGCATTGAAAGGTGATTTTACCTGTACCTACCTGTGGACATCGGATTGTGAACGGATATTCAGGCCTATGATGTATCCACTCCTGTTATTTAAACAGCTATGTTATAGCTCAACATCTATACTTCTCTCTATTTTGACGCATAGAATAAACAGTAACAGGCAACTTAACGTTGCCGTTGAAATAACAGAAAATGATACATCATAGGCCTGAATATATGTATAACAAACAGGTAGAAATTTCGGTATTAGAATTAAAGAACCTTACAACAGTTTCAATAAAAATAAAACAGACTCAAATTATGCAAATCACCTCATAGAATCGAATCATAATTTTACTAATGAATTTAAAATGTTGCATAATGAAAACAAAGGCATAAAATTAAAGCTTCTTGAATTTCTAGAAATAAACAAACTTAAAAATTTAGACTGTTTACTGAACGACCAATTAGATTTGAACAATTCACCAATTTTAAATTTATTTATGTAATATTATCTATTCACAATCCGATGTCCAATGGTAAAGGTAAAATTTATTACCTTTCAGTGCTATTTGATAGGGAAAGGTGATAAATTTACTTTTACCTTTGGACTACGGATTGTGAATAGGATATAGGTACCTATTTAGATTAACATAAAATTAGAATAGTATATTGTTGTATTAGGAGTAGAAGCTTTACTTTTTTGTGCTGAAGCGGTAGGTTTATCCTGCTGCTGAAGCACAAAAAAGTGCTTCTACTCCGTATGCAACACGCTATTTTTTCTCCAAACGAATGGGGTAAGCTCGGGGGCAAGTGAATGGTTGAGCGGCAGTAAAAGTACTTTTGCTGCCGTTGAGGTTGCCAAGCAGCATAGAAATTAAATTTCTGACATCTTGACAGGAGTTAACAAAGTGACGTTTTTCTGACGTTTGGAGAAAATAGTTATTTTCCTAACAAGTGCGCAAAGTGTTACTTTTCCGCACGCAAACACAGTTATACGAACGACGCGGAGCGGAGTTCGGATACGTGTTTGCGTGCGGAAAAGACACTTTGCGCACGTGTTAGGAACAAAATTTTTCCTACGAGCTTCATATCAGGTAGGTAATAACAAAAATTTAAAAAAAAAAAACGATAATTTGTTGTTATTTTTAATTAACTTGAAGGGAACCTATGCATTTATCAAAAAATTACATAACAAAAAAAAATAACAGAAAATCCTCGTCAGAGCTGTTCATCTTAAAGCGTTTAAATTTGATGAAAAAGTTTGTAGATTTTTGCATATAAATAGAGAACAAATCTGACAATGTGTCAAAGTTAATTTATATTTGGTGTTTGTATAGATGTTGGCTGCTGATATAGAAACAAGAGGAAAAATTTGTCATCATGCGTCAAAGTCGACAGGTGCACTTATTGTTGCTTGACAATTATAATTACTTTTCGGCACTCAGTGCGGATAAGGCCCGTATCCGCACTGAGTGCGGAAAAGTGTAACTTTGAGCCCGGAAATGCGTGCGGAAAAGTACTACTTTGCGCACGCTCGTAGGAAATAGTTATTTTCCTAACAAGTGCGCAAAGTGTCACTTTTCCGCACGCAAACACAGTTATACGAACGACGCGAAGCGGAGTTCGGATACGTGTTTGCGTGCGGAAAAGACACTTTGCGCACGTGTTAGGAACAACATTTTTCCTACGAGCTTCATATCAGGTAGGTAACAAGATTTTTTTTTTTTTTTAAACCCATAATTTGTTCAATTATTTTTAATTAACTTGAAGCGAACCTATACATTTATCAAAAAATTACCTAATAAAAAAAATAACAGAAAATCCTCGTCAGAGCTGTTCATCTTAAAGCATTTAAATTTGATGATAAAGTTTGTAGATTCTTGCATATAAATAGAGAACAAATCTGACAATGTGTCAAGGTTAATTTATATTTGGTGTTTGTATTGATGTTGGCTGATATAGAAACCGAGAAAAAATTTGTCATCATGTGTCAAAGTCGACAGGTGCACTTATTGTTGCTTGACAAGTATTTTTACTTTTCGGCACTCAGTGCGGATAAGGCCTGTATCCGCACTGAGTGCGGAAAAGTGTAACTTTGAGCCCTGGAATGCGTGCGGAAAAGTACTTCTTTGCGCACGCTCGTAGG